AGGTGCATTACGATACGCTTTCACATCATGTTCTATAACCCAGAGCATATTGTCTGCAAAGATAAATATTTAATTCAGTATTTAATTAGCTATGCATAATTATCTATGTTGTTTTATAAAGGAAATATTAAAAAAAAATATTTGTTTTATATTTTTCTATGTAGAGATATACAGAAAATGTTTTCCAATTTTAAGTCCTATCGAAATACACATTTTCAACAAAAAAAAGTGTGTGTTGGAGGGGGGGTCATTACATTTTTGCTGGGATTCGCCTATGTATGACCATAGAGAAACAAAGAGTGGGGAGGGTGCAAGCAGCGACTAAATCAAAATTTACATATTAAAACTACAACAAAAGACTATTTTCAGAAGGTCTGCCCCCCCCCCCCCCCCCGTACAATCCGTACAACGGACCTGTGAGAAAAATACTGATTCTACTTTCAGAGTCCCAGGGCACCAGGAAAGAGTGGCAAAAAGAGAATATCGGTTTATTTCAGTCTATAAGTCGAATCAAAATATCTTTTTCTCAAGAGTCTTCTTTTTTTGAGTTCTTCCCAGTGATCGTGTGATTTATTTCATTTGATTTACGTTCTGTACTGGACTTGGAAAATGAGGACATCTTTAGGTTCCTGAGCTGGCCTTGAAGCCCACAGAACAGATTTTCTGCTTTATGATAAATTCAAGTGATATGTAATTCGGTAATAATTTTGTGTTGATTTTATTAATGTTAATTTCATCAAGAAATATGAAAAATTAATGTTTTAACTATACATAGTGAGGCATTTTTTGTGTGGAACGATTATTTTGGGGTTTTCACGATTTTTTCATATGGTACACATGATGAGTAAGTGCAATAAATATAATTTGTGGAAAAAATGTCCAACAAGCCCCGGGGTTGAATATCGGGGGGGAGGGGGTGTCTGTCCACAAGTACCTGTTGTCAAGCCCGTAGAAAACAATTTCAGTTTTTTGGGAAGGGGGGGGGGGCAAATAGAAATTTCCACAGGTACTTGTACTCGATTTTTTCCTATGGTACACATGATGAATAAGTGTAATAAATATAACTTGTGGAAAAAAATGTCCAACAAACATTGGGGTTGAATTTGGGGGGGGGGGGATCCTGTCCACAAGTACCTGTGGAAATTTCTTGATACATAAACAGAATTTAAAAGCATGTATTAGACATCTTTTGAAGGGGAGAGGGCACGGCCGTAATTAAAAGTTATATGGAGACTAGGAAAGAATGAACTGTCATTAAATTTTGGTTAAGAACTATTACCTAAACTCTTCACTTTCACATTTTCAATTACAGATTCTTGTTTTTAAAAAGCTATACATGTACATTTATATGTATATATTAGATGCATAAATTATGTTATTAATCATTTTATCTTAAAGAAAAAGTAAAAATCTCAATCAAACTTGTTCCGCATATTATGCTCTCTGATTCGTTACTCAACAGATGCTTCATATACATGTAAGAAGGGAAGACTGCAGACTGCAGGTGTGATAAATTCACAGCATGCAGCTCCAGCCTTAATTCCAACTTTGTTCCAAAATATTATTATTCAACGCGAAAAATTAGAATTAGCCGATAGAATATTTTGAATCACTTCGGAAATGCTGCCGTAACACCAGACTGGGTTCACAATATATCGAGTGATTTTGATTGACAGGTGTAGCGCCGTTGTGCATGGATTTCGTGTAACTATACATGTACTGCAGATTGTGGTTGAAAATAATAAACAAACAGATCTAAAGAAAAGATATTGTATACTGTAAATATATTTGTTAAGAACCAGTTTATTCATGAAACGAATTTAGTCGTATTATGTGGGCCCATGTTAGATTTGACAGGTTGATTTACTAGTAGAAATTCAATGGACCACAGTCATTTAGGGTATTCCGAATCACCCAGCACATCGCGACTCTCGGTAATTTACCTTACCGCTGTACCTCGCACGACACATGCACAGGTGTGACAACCAAACAGTCATTATTAGTAAGGTCTATGCTTATTGCATACAACAAATAAAGAGGTAAACATAATGCGTTAACTAAAAGAATTAATTATTTTAATTCATTAACTTCCTATCCTTTTCGAAGAAAATGCCCGTGTAGAAACGTATTTCTCATCGATGTCGTGGCGTTGTTGGTGGATGAAACATGGCATATAAGGTATCGATAGAACGGCAATTTTATAAGCTTTTGTGAGTATTATTTGTTTTTTATAACACCTCAAAAATATACTAGTTATGGCCGCATTTGTAGCCCCCTACAGTTTCGAACCACGTGTGTACATGCCCCTAGCCAAATAACATGCACACGCTACATGTATACTTGTTATATGTCAGATTATTATTTTTTTTATAACATTGTTTTTCTTAAATGCAAGGGGTATGAAAGTAATGATTTGACAAAGCAAGAGCTATAATAAGACTATCCCGGGTCCCGGTATACACTTGATCAGTGTTGATCAATGTTCATATGTACGAGTACACGTATGCAAATAATTCGATAGCTTTTGGAGATTTCAACATACATTTTTGTAACACGCATATTTGTAATAACCACTTTATATACAAAACAAAATTTCATTCTCTTATATGGTAATATGGACGTCGTAATAGATCTGACTGAATGCTTGACATGCCTGTTTCAAAAACGTTTCCTAAGTTATCTTAAGATATGCCTATAAGTTATAACTTTAGAAGTTCCTAAGATTTATCACAGCTGTATCGCGAAACAATCTTATCTAAAAAAAAATTATAAGTCATTTCTTAAGTTGTGCCTTTAAGGACTAATAAAATAACATTCCCGCTCTATATACAACTCTCAGTATGGTATATATTTTTAGATTCAAAAAGGAGGGGTGCGAGGATTGGGGATTGCCCCCACTTTTAAAGGATTTGGACGCAAGTATGCTTAACTTTGCGAAGTGTGTTGCTAGATCTAAGCATTCACAGACACACCCTTTCAAGCCATCTTCCCTTCCGAGCACACGATATTTGTATTTTAATTTTTAAACATTGTTCTAGGTGTTATACATTTACTTTATTTTGTTCTTTTAAGGTATCTACGTGTAAATAAAATTTTAAAATGAATGCTTCGTAGCAAACACATGCGAGTTTATATTTTTCAAACAATCTTTGCCAATTACTACACTGCATGTACACGTTAGTTGTTTGTGCGGTGTAGAGCAACTATCAGAGTACACAATGTATTTCAACATCGAGGTGCCCGCGGCTCTCTGTGGCCACGTGTATGTAAACGAGGACTGGACTACAACACTTAAAGACACAAAGCGGCAGAGATGGATGAAACTGTTTGCTATATTACAAAGACTTGAATTATAGTACATGTATATTTGAAGGAATTTTTATTTATGTTAATGTTTATTTAATTCTATAAATAATAAATGGACATTCACAAGAGTGTTGGTAAAAATAATATGTGCGTAGCATGCGTAGTAATTACAATTATTTACCCCCATTCAATTACAATTGCAGATGAATTAAAATACAACAACACGGGATAGAGCAATACTTTTTTTAAATGTATTGTTGCGTGAACAGACAAAAACAGCGATTAAAATTCAAAATGATTTTTATGCATCAGTGTTTGGAATTAAGATTATAAAAGATCGGTAAAGTAATCTTACTGATTCGATATAATTAAAAACATAACTTTCCATTAATTAATAGCTCTTTGAACAAAATTGACATTATATGCGATTACAAATACTAGCTTTGTTTATGGCCACAGGTGGCTAGTACACTGGTGACCTCGATCAACAGCGTGGGATTCGTGCGTCGGGTTACATAACTAAACATCGAGCTGAACATGGAGACCGTAATATGCATACAGCTAATGATCGTGAATTATTCAATGCATACAGTTTAAAATCACTTACAAAGTTTGTTGTAATAATAAACGTAGAAAGATAGATTTAATATTCTCCACTTTTGAACACTATTAACCTAATTTAAAAAAGAAGAAAAGAAAGACTAGTTGTAATAAATAATTTAATAGTGAACAATAAACCACGTTTTAAACCTTATTAAAAAGAAAATTAACATTAAATACCGCAGGGTATATTATTGATAGCAAGTCTGTTTAAGTTATACACATGAAGAGGTCTGATTTCCTTGCCGAATGAAAAACGTTACCTGTTTACCTGGCCTGCTTTCTAATACGTATTACGCAATACCCATGGTATACTCGAACAAAACAACATTTTCATTAGATCAAAAAGGTGTAAAAGAACAATTTTGTTCCCAAGATCCAGATCGAAATATTTACCGTTTTTGAGCTATAAAGCAAAAACTTTTAAGGGCCCAAGATCCCTAATCATAGGGGCCAGCCCCTTTTAAGTAGTATAATATGAAAGCCCTTGCAATTATGCACAACTTTTGTTCTACATGTCTTAACAAAATATTTCTAGTTTTCAAGATATAAAGGAAAATATGTCAAATTTTTTGCTGTTTTCCGCGTTCTAACTTTTGACCCCTCTCTAGTGCCATTTTTAATGCAAAAATCAAAAAACAAAAACCGATGTGCACAACTTCAATGCTTCCTCTTTTCAATTTCAAAGGGTTTTGTGCTCCAATTATAACCATTTCTGAGCCTTTGTCTGGAAATCGGAGGCATGCAAAATTCAATCAAAGGGGAATAACTCGTGAACAGAAGGTAATTTCCGAATTGTATTACGGTATTCTGACAGTGTTTTGTAAAGTCTAAAAGCTCTGAAAATTTGAACAAAATCTGTTTAAAAATGAGGAAGATATGAAGCGTCAAAGTTGGCGTCTAGGAAAAAAAAAAGAATAATAAGAATAAGCTTAATCATCACAATCAGTAGAAGGTCTTCCGTTGGAAACGGAAGACCTTAAATATATTAGCATACCAAATGGGAAACTAATAACATTTGTTACTACTTCGTTTTGTTGAAGTTTGTTTAATTATTGAGAATCGACTGAGTAAAAGAAAATAAAAATCCCTACCGATCAGAATTTTCAGGAATGGAGTAATAGCTTGTCCGTCGCACGTCCCGAAGTCCACTATATTGACAGGTTGATCACAATATTCATTTAAACCTAAAAAGTTGAAGGAATAGAGTCTAATAAGATTCGTTCGTAAGTTTTGCATTTGCTGTAATTTTGAAACTGTTTAAATGATTTTCCCCCTTGTGTATATTTGTTTGAATCAAATTTTACTTGTATGTTAGAATTTCGTAAGGTGCTACTCACTTAAAAAATTTAACACAGGCTCCAAACATGGTTCAAGAGTTTGATGAAAATGATCCGAAAGTATAAATGTTTCGTCTGGCAATCTTTTATATTCCATCATGTACTACTCCCGTTCAGGTATAAAGACAGAGTATATTATTTATTCAGGGCGTCGATTGTTTTAAAGGCACATACAAGGGGTTATCAAAAAGTTCATGGACTGGGTGCGATAATATATTATAATTATTTAAACTTTACTTTAAAAATTTTAAAGAATCGCAAAACAACAATATCTTTAGAAGTTTTAATCTAATGTCCCATCCGAAGACTTGGAATTATAAAAATATGTAAAGTAAGGGTTTTCTGGTTCAAAGTATCATTATTTTCTGCAAAAAAATTATCTCCAATATTTATTATTATTTTTCACTTAACTGTTGATTATTTATTAAATTAATCTTAAAAATAAATGCTGTCAAAAGAATATTCATTTAGTACGATGCTACAAGATTAAATTAAGATACGCCAACATACACCGGATACGGTGCTGCAACGTCAAAGACCACAAATCGTTGATACTAGAGAGATGATAACCCAGGTCGCTTTATTTACCAACTGCTGAATAATTACTACGATATTCATTACCAACAAGTTTTTTTTCTCCCAGTTACAATAGAAATGCATGTACATGTTACAACTATTTCTGAGAATTATAGATAGTTTTATGGATTAATTATAAATATCTACGGAGTGATGTACATTGATAGTACTCTTAAAAATTTAGTCATTTAATTGTAATGCACTAAAAGAAATTATAACAGCAAGTTTTTGGTGGAGCTGGAAGGGTATAAGGTTTTCTTCTTCACAAATATAACCAAAGTCTATTGTAAGAGAGGAAAAAATCCTTCATCACTGTAACTATTTATAAGTTTACCACTTAATTTAGTTACGAGCCCCCCCCCCCCCCCCTTTCCTATATCTGCCACTTCGTCAGTATTTGCAATAAATTTTAGCTCACATTAAAAAGGAAGTCGATGCTTTTTGTGACATCAGAATTTCAGTTTATAAACGTTCTTGCATCTATCATAGTCATTAAGCAATGGTGGTCCAAAATACACGTGTCGACGGTGGTATTTGAATTGGCAAGGATCAAATTCATGCAGCTTAATTATTCCAAGTGTTTATGTCCAATGCATTTTATTTATTCATTAATTGATTATTTTTGAGCAATGTTTGAATCAGATCTAGAAACGATCAAAAAGTGTTTCAAACTCCTTGGGAACACTAGAACATTGCCTTGGGTGTGACGAGACTTTTACAGCAGCAGTCAATGGCATTGATTCACAAGACAAGCACGTGGACTTCATGTGAACTTGAAGCAGAAAAAAAAGATTATGATTGCCAAACAAATTGTTCTGTGGATAAATTTTTTTTTTTTCACTGCCTGATATATTAAAAAAAAATATATAAAAAAAAATATTTGCTTGATACAGGTACATGCATATGGTGTGGGGGGAGGCAAGACGGAATCTCTCTCTCTCTCTGTATAATTTGTCTGTTTATATTTAAATATGGCAGCAAAGTACATGTTCTAAAATATCAATAACTGAAATTCAAATCTAAAACAAATAATATGAATTTCTCCTTGTATCCTCTTGTCCACAAGTCATGACGGGGAAGGGGGGGGGGGTCTAAAGTAGAATTCTGCTCAAATAATCATCGTTAAAAATTAAAAATGCCAAATAAATATATAATTGACTGAAGATTTTAGAATACATGTGTATTTATGTTACACATCCACAGACCTATGTAAAAATATTTTTAATTGTGAATTTTTTTTAGAAATTATTTAACATGTAATCGCCTCTGTGTGGAAACACGTTTCTTTGTAGTTTTCTCTACGTCAACTACAGGGTTTTGTATTAGCAACAATGTTTAACAGCGATAAATTGTTTGTGACTAAACAGCTTAACATAAAATATATGTGCAGAAAAGTCTGTAAGAAACACAATTAGCTGGCGCACTTAATGTGCATGTATCATTTTCTTACGATAATGTGGGAGCGTTTATCTATTTATTTATTTGATAGTTTGTTTATTTATTTGTTTGTTCTGGAAGTGTTAAGAACAACTTTAACATGGTATGCTAATGTCAGAACTACATTCCGAATAGACCGACCATCTTCCGTTCACCGTTCATTCACTTTGCGCTTATATAAACTATCTACAGGAGAAGTTCGAAAAGCTCCTGAGCAAAGTCGAAGGCCTTGATGGTGTATTGTATCAAGAGCTTTTACGTATGAAGTTCTTGCAGAGCCATGCACAATACTGCCATAAGCTAACTTGGATTATACTAAAGAGTGATAGAGTTTTAAATTAAAGAGTATTTTTATCCCCCCCCCCCTTTTGTATCTGCAAACATCAACATCAAAAACCTTTGTACATTCTTCTTTTAGCATTTTAATATGCGAAACCAAAGAGAGTTTACTATCAAAGATGATACCTAAAAACTTTATCTCTTTAACTACTTTTATTGGATTTCCATCGAACCACATACGTGGTTCGTCACGGGCTTTCCGTGTGGAGCAAAATGCACGGAAACAGATTTACTTTTACAGAACGTAAATTCATTAACATCAGCTTAATTTTGAATTTTATTCAGACAAAACTGTAATTTTCGCTCAATATAATTCATATCTTTGAATTTATAACAAAGATCAATTTAATCGACATATAAACTTCCATACATATCATTATTTTAAGAACTTATGCTAAGCTGTTAATTTTTATTCTGAATAAAGTGACTGATAAAATACTACCTTGTGGCTCGCCTATTTCCTGTTTAAAACTTTCCGAATAAGTAGACCCCAAGCGTACTGAAGTATTGTGCATCATTCATGGACTTTAAAGTGTAAAATCGAGCGGAAGCTGTGCAGACTTTGTGTTCTGGATTAACTTAGATCTCCACGTTCTTTTTTTATTTACATGTAAATTAAGCGTATTTAAAGTATTTGTTCTTGGTTACCTCTTGGACACATTCCAAAATTTACCCGAAACTCTCCATTCTGTTTGTTTTAACTGTCCATTCTCTTTAGAAAAAAAACTGGCCATTCTTTTTAAGAATAAACAGTTTTCCAAAAAGATTGAACACTTACAGGTAACAAAATGGATTGTTTCAGGAACTAGCTCAACACTGAGCTATAAAAATGACAACACAAACAAAAGGTTAACGTCACAATCACGTTTTAAAAACAAGTAATCTTGACAAATTTTCTCTGCCTCTCCCGCCTGTTTAAACATTTCCAATGTCTATGCCATTTTGCTGAAGTTAAACTTTCTATAGATTACGGGAAACGACCGATATCTATAGAAAGCATAACATTCTTACCCCAGCCCGTTGTCATTTTAAGGCCTAGTTTCCTTTGGCATTATATATAGAATTTACGATAACATTTCATAAAACTCCTAAAATAATGTAAATATTGCAAACTTTACATTTTGTATGCATCAAAGGAGTAAAATCATTACATGATAATTGTATGACAAATTCTCATATCAAAAGATTTGTTGCCGTTCGACTCAGATAAACGTTTGTATTTTGAGGTTGCGCCTTGTAATCATAACATTGCATACAATTAACCATATCTAAAACATATGACTAAATTATGTATTACAGAATATGTCTAACAAGATGTAAACTTTCAATCTCTTACAGTAAACTGTTGCCTTATCCGCCCGATCAAGGCAGTAGCTAGGCTCAAATTTTTAGTGAGACAAGGGATCTGAGAGTCACCCGAGTCCCAAGCGGGCCCAGGGTAGTGTCCTGTAGGTTTTCGGGGGAGGAGAGGGGGAAGGATGAGTTCCAGAAACCTGGGTGTTAGTAAATTAAAGACTTAAGTCTTTGAAAATTCTCATGTTTTGAATTATTTTTTACATGCGTTCTAAAAGATCATGAAGCACATACTTGTGAGATGATCGATTTACAGAAATTGAAACAAAAGTTGAAAGTATTAATTTAGTACAAAGACACAAATAATTAATTGAAGTTCAAGACCCCTATAAAACCCGCCATTTACAATGTACTTTCGGTTTTAAATCTTCACATTTGGACAAAATAAACAGGGGAAACAACTTTCCGGAGGCTATCGAAGTCCAACTTGCCCTTCATTGATAAACATACATTGTTTCTAAGTTATGGCTTTCACTAAAAGTACGGAATTAATTAGATGTATTTTTAAAAAATATATGCATTTTTATTAAAGAATTTTTCTCGATAAATATTTTTTTTCATTATTTGTTATCAAGTGATACTTTCTATCTGTTAATCAATGATATATTTATAAACTGTAAAAGTTTTAACTTTATAAACCACATAGTTTTGGAGCTATTGTAAAAATATTTTTTTGGACATGTTGACCTTTGACAAAACCTTAATGAGATTATTATTTCTTCCTCCATCCTTTTACTACTGAGAAGAAGAGATAAACTTTGCACATTTCTGAACTTTCCAGACAATTTTTTTGAATGCGTATATACTATTCATGTCTACTTGAATATATTACAAAGTTAATACATGCATTGACGTCTCTAACAAAAACAACTCACCGTATAATTTATTCAATCTCTCATCTGTATCATTTAGAATTTAGAAAACTGACAATTAGACGTGCGAGTGCGTATATTTTCTGTGTAATTATTATTTCTTCTACCCATTTTAGTGATAAATTGGGAATCTCTCTGACCTTTCCTGACGATGTTTTGAATGCGTATGAACTAGTCATGCCTACTTGAGTATATTACAAAGTTAATGTATACATTACAAAAATCACACCCGTATAAATTTTCCAGTCTCTCGTCTTTGTCATTAAGAACTTGAAAACTGACCATCCAATTCGCACAGGGATATACATCTACATGTTCGAATGCAGTTCAAGGGATGGGAGTATGACAATTTTATAATGGAAATCAAAGGGAAACCTGTCTATGTGACACCATTTTCAATTGATCTGCAAAATATATAAGAACATCTTGAAAACTGTGTGAAGCTATCGGGAAATGCGCAATATATTGCAAGAAAGAAGTTAAACAGCTGGGGCTCGTAGCATAAAGCTTGCTAAGTTTTTGACTTAAGAAGGGTCATAAGTATGTTTTACGCGCATTCTTTAGACCTGCCTAGGTACTACTTAAGTATGTCTTAAACCGTAACATAAAACGAACTTAGCTAGGTCTTAGCTAAGTCAAACTTATGTTCAAATTATTTCTTATGAATCACCCTAG